ACGGTAATTGTTCAGATGAACTCTTCACTAGGGTACCTAGACTTTATGAATTCAAGACAGGAGCAGAGTGGCAAAGAGGAAAAAGCATGGAATGGTAAAAGGAGAGTAAATCAAGAAATAACAAGTGAGGAGAATGTCAAGGAATGATGAAATGGGAGAATTGCATGGAATAGGCATCCTGGCTTTGGTCACTTTCCACTGCCGTAATGAAGCTTCCCTGTGCCTTTTCTATAAATATTTTTCAGTGGTAATTGTTCAGATGAACTCTTCACTAGGGTACCTAGACTTTATGAATTCAAGACAGGAGCAGAGTGGCAAAAAGAGGAAAAAAGCATGGAATGGTAAAAGGAGAGTAAATCAAGAAATAACAAGTGAGGAGAATGTCAAGGAATGATGAAATGGGAGAATTGCATGGAATAGGCATCCTGGCTTTGGTCACTTTCCACTGCCGTAATGAAGCTTCCCTGTGCCTTTTCTATAAATATTTTCACGGTAATTGTTCAGATGAACTCTTCACTAGGGTACCTAGACTTTATGAATTCAAGACAGGAGCAGAGTGGCAAAAGAGGAAAAAGCATGGAATGGTAAAAGGAGAGTAAATCAAGAAATAACAAGTGAGGAGAATGTCAAGGAATGATGAAATGGGAGAATTGCATGGAATAGGCATCCTGGCTTTGGTCACTTTCCCACTGCCGTAATGAAGCTTCCCTGTGCCTTTTCTATAAATATTTTCACGGTAATTGTTCAGATGAACTCTTCACTAGGGTACCTAGACTTTATGAATTCAAGACAGGAGCAGAGTGGCAAAAGAGGAAAAAGCATGGAATGGTAAAAGGAGAGTAAATCAAGAAATAACAAGTGAGGAGAATGTCAAGGAATGATGAAATGGGAGAATTGCATGGAATAGGCATCCTGGCTTTGGTCACTTTCCCACTAGCGTAATGAAGCTTCCTGTGCCTTTTCTATAAATATTTTTCACGGTAATTGTTCAGATGAACTCTTCACTAGGGTACCTAGACTTTATGAATTCAAGACAGGAGCAGAGTGGCAAAAAGGAATGAAAAAGCATGGAATGGTAAAAGGAGAGTAAATCAAGAAATAACAAGTGAGGAGAATGTCAAGGAATGATGAAATGGGAGAATTGCATGGAATAGGCATCCTGGCTTTGGTCACTTTCCCACTGCCGTAATGAAGCTTCCCTGTGCCTTTTCTATAAATATTTTCACGGTAATTGTTCAGATGAACTCTTCACTAGGGTACCTAGACTTTATGAATTCAAGACAGGAGCAGAGTGGCAAAAGAGGAAAAAGCATGGAATGGTAAAAGGAGAGTAAATCAAGAAATAACATGTGAGGAGAATGTCAAGGAATGATGAAATGGGAGAATTGCATGGAATAGGCATCCTGGCTTTGGTCACTTTCCCACTGACGTAATGAAGCTTCCTGTGCCTTTTCTATAAATATTTTCACGGTAATTGTTCAGATGAACTCTTCACTAGGGTACCTAGACTTTATGAATTCAAGACAGGAGCAGAGTGGCAAAAGAGGAAAAAGCATGGAATGGTAAAAGGAGAGTAAATCAAGAAATAACAAGTGAGGAGAATGTCAAGGAATGATGAAATGGGAGAATTGCATGGAATAGGCATCCTGGCTTTGGTCACTTTCCCACTGACGTAATGAAGCTTCCCTGTGCCTTTTCTATAAATATTTTCACGGTAATTGTTCAGATGAACTCTTCACTAGGGTACCTAGACTTTATGAATTCAAGACAGGAGCAGAGTGGCAAAAGAGGAAAAAGCATGGAATGGTAAAAGGAGAGTAAATCAAGAAATAACAAGTGAGGAGAATGTCAAGGAATGATGAAATGGGAGAATTGCATGGAATAGGCATCCTGGCTTTGGTCACTTTCCCACTGACGTAATGAAGCTTCCCTGTGCCTTTTCTATAAATATTTTCACAAGGAGGAGGTAATTGTTCAGATGAACTCTTCACTAGGGCCTTTTCTATAAATTGCCTAGACTTTATGAATTCAAGACAGGAGCAGAGTGGCAAAAGAGAAAAAAAAGCATGGAATGGTAAAAAGGAGAGTAAATCAAGAAATAACAAGTGAGGAGAATGTCAAGGAATGATGAAATGGGAGAATTGCATGGAATAGGCATCCTGGCTTTGGTCACTTTCCCCACTGACGTAATGAAGCTTCCCTGTGCCTTTTCTATAAATATTTTCACGGTAATTGTTCAGATGAACTCTTCACTAGGGTACCTAGACTTTATGAATTCAAGACAGGAGCAGAGTGGCAAAAGAGGAAAAGCATGGAATGGTAAAAGGAGAGTAAATCAAGAAATAACAAGTGAGGAGAATGTCAAGGAATGATGAAATGGGAGAATTGCATGGAATAGGCATCCTGGTTTTTGGTCACTTTCCCACTGCCGTAATGAAGCTTCCCTGTGCCTTTTCTATAAATATTTTCACGGTAATTGTTCAGATGAACTCTTCACTAGGGTACCTAGACTTTATGAATTCAAGACAGGAGCAGAGTGGCAAAAGAGGAAAAAGCATGGAATGGTAAAAAAGGAGAGTAAATCAAGAAATAACAAGTGAGGAGAATGTCAAGGAATGATGAAATGGGAGAATTGCATGGAATAGGCATCCTGGTGAATTTTGGTCACTTTCCCACTGCCGTAATGAAGCTTCCCTGTGCCTTTTCTATAAATATTTTCACGGTAATTGTTCAGATGAACTCTTCACTAGGGTACCTAGACTTTATGAATTCAAGACAGGAGCAGAGTGGCAAAAGTGGAAAAAGCATGGAATGGTAAAAGGAGAGTAAATCAAGAAATAACAAGTGAGGAGAATGTCAAGGAATGATGAAATGGGAGAATTGCATGGAATAGGCATCCTGGCTTTTTGGTCACTTTCCCACTGACGTAATGAAGCTTCCTGTGCCTTTTCTATAAATATTTTCACGGTAATTGTTCAGATGAACTCTTCACTAGGGAGAACCTAGACTTTATGAATTCAAGACAGGAGCAGAGTGGCACAAGAGGAAAAAGCATGGAATGGTAAAAGGAGAGTAAATCAAGAAATAACAAGTGAGGAGAATGTCAAGGAATGATGAAATGGGAGAATTGCATGGAATAGGCATCCTGGCTTTGGTCACTTTCCCACTGACGTAATGAAGCTTCCCTGTGCCTTTTCTATAAATACTTTCATGGAAATTATTTGGATGTACTCTTTGCTATGGTACCTAGACTTTATGAATTTAAGAAAGGAGCGGAACGGCAAAAGATGACAAAGCATGAAATGGTAAAAGTCAAGAATATTGATGAACGGCAAAAGGAGAGAAAGGTGTGGAATAGCAAAATAAAGTATTTTTTTTTAAAAAAAAAATCATACAAAAGTTTACCATTCTTCCATGCTTTGAATAATGCTGCCACATATTGTCCGAGGCTCCTGCTGTATATTTAGAGATTCTTGATAATATCCAAAGTAGTATCAGTGATATTATTGGTCCTAACCTGGCATCTAAGCTTTGATCACTTTCCCACTGTCGTAATGAAGCTTCCCTGTACTTTTTCTATAAATATTTTCATGGTAATTGTTCAGATGAACTCCCTACTATGGTACCTAAGACTTTATGAATTTAAGTGCAGTACTAGATTGGCAACAAAGTTTCTTTAATTTACAGTTGAATTGGCTAGATGTAACTGTAAAGTCTATGCTAACAGTTTCTTTTCTCACACTACTCACTTGTGGAAATCTCTTCTGGCTCCATGCTTTCCAGCCAACTTAGATCTTCAAAAATTTTATGTACAGTGTTGTTGGAGTTAGCTCCTCCTTAATTCCCTAATTGTCACTAGGGGTCATTCTCCCTACACTATAAATACTGGGTGACTTCCAGCCTCGTCCTCTTTTTCCTTCAGGCCTCGTGCCACATCCCACCTCGCGTGTAGGTGAGGTAAATCCTTTTTTTCATTTCTTCATTTCAACGACTACAATGTAAGCTCTCTTAGAAAATCTGTGTCTTCCCATTTGTGGAAGACGCCGTGAACATTACACACAAATACACATACATTCGAACATTCACCAAAGGACAAACACAAATGTTCACGCACACACAAATATTATTGTCTATGTCCATTGTAAAATTGTTTTGTTTAATAAATATATTCATTTGTGTATATATATACATATATATATATATATATATATATATATATATATATATATATATATATATATATATATGCTTTGTTTGTTTGTCTTTACATCTTCAGTTGTACTTGAGTCTCCAACTTCATTTTCTTGTAGTTGGGCCTTTTAATATTCTACCAGGAGTTACACATGTGTTTCTAAAACAACAACACATAAATCCACAGCAGGGGTTTTCAAACTGTGGTCCGCAGACCACAGGGGGTCCGTGGACAGCAAACACTTTTTTATGGGTGACGTACAACTTATAAGTGCTTATAAGTAACTTATATGCCGATCATGAAATAAATTGATTCAATAAACTATTTCATAGATTTGATATACTAATATAATTTGTATCTTAAATTGATAAAGATAATGGATTCTATTCATGCAGAGGAGGAACCAAAGGATGTGAATTTTGGATCTATTTTGGGATTTCCAGCTTTCTCATTGGCTGTTAGGCATTTGCGTTAATGCAAAATTATATGTTATATTCAGCAAATATTTATGTATAAATTTCATAAGCGTTTATAAGGGGGTCCCTAAGGTAAAGCCTGAAATATAAAAGGGTCCGCAAGTCAAAATGTTTGAAAACCCCTGCTCTACAGTATCAATCATTATTTATTGTCTTCTTGATTATTCATAAGTGTTCTCACTCCTTAATACTTTTCTTTTTCTTATATTCTTTCAAACTCTGTAACCCCATATGTCCTAGTGGCTTTACTGTCTTGCTTGGGGTGAAATGATTAAAAAAAAAAAAAAGTGTTGAATATCTCTTAACTTCAGTATTTTCTTTTTAAATTGTAGAGATACACGTTCGAGGTCCCCCATAAAAGTGAAACACTCCAAGAAGAAAAGCCGGCACCATAGTTCTTCCTCAGACAGCATTGCAGACAGTTCTTCAGACTCTGACAGTGAGTCAGTGACGGAGGAGAAAAAAGGCAGTGACCAAAGCAAAGAAACGGAGAAAGACAAATCGGCAAAAAGCAAAAGACATCATCGCAGTGAAAATGAGAAGGATTACAAGAAACACAAGAGCAAGAAAAAATTGTCCAGTTCTGATTCGGGGACGGAAGCTAAAAAGTCCAGTCACAGAAGCAAAAGGAAAGGGCACAAAGAGCCGAAACCTGAAGAATCCTCACAGAAAAATCGGCACCACAAAAAGAGTAAGAAACACCACAGATCGAAAGAGAAGCAATACAATCACTCATTTTCTGAAATTAGTGACTAAAGAACAAAAAAAAATTCAGATGTGACTAAATCAGTCGAGTTGTATGACAAGTACTACAACCAGAAATAACCATTTTATTTTTTTATTTTATTTTATTTTTTTAATTTTTTTTTTTTTAATCAATTCACCCCCAAGTCACAAAGACACAAGGGACCACTGGAAGTGAACGAGAATGAAAAGATCTTAAAAGGAACCGGAAATGCAATCCTAAGCAGAAAGCAAGGGATAAACCTCTACTCCTGTTCAAAAGACCAGGAAGGAGTGTGAACTGAACAGTGGGTGAACCTGTTTACTCCCACTGAGGAAGAATAAATAAACAGTAAATAAAATTTCAGAGTTTAGGTGGAGATGTTAGAAGTAGAATTGAAAAAGATTCCAGAAGGAACTGGAAGTCCAATCCTAAAAAGGAAAACATTTCCAGTTCCTTCTAAAATCTATTTCTGAAACACTCTAGGTCACAAATATAATTTTTTTTTTTTTTTTTTTTTTTTTTTTATAAAATCTATAGGGGGTCCAGTTTGCCACGTAAATTCATTTTAAATTGATCCCCCTATGGAAGCCAAACTAAATATGTTCATATGACTTTTTTTCTTTTTTAAGTTAAAGAAAATTTGGAAATGTTTAATCTTTTTAAATGTTGTTTGAGACAATTTTTCTCTCCAGAATCTGTCTAACATATCTATAAGTCTACCATTCATCCATGCTTAAGATATTGCTGCCACATATGGTCCAGTTCCCTGGCTATTTACTTTGTGCTTCTTGATAAAATTCAAACAAGAATCAGCAATATTATTGGTCCTGATCTGGCAGATTGGCTTCAGTCACTTTCCTACCACCATAAGGTTGCCTCGCTCTTCCTTTTTTATAAATACATTCATGGTAATTGTTTGGATGAGCTCTTCACTATGCTACCTACACTAATTTAAGTGCATTACTCAACTGGCATCTAGATCTCATTAATCTGTAGCTGAATTGGTTAGATGTAACTATAAATTCTATGCTAACATTTTCTTTTCTCACACTTCTCACTTGTGGAACTCCTTTCCAGGTCCATGCTTTCCAGTTAATTTTAATCTGCAAAGATTTAAAAGCAATGTCAATCACTATCTACTGTCCAGCTGATTACTCTCTTCTCTTTCTACTCATCATTAATGTTTCTGTTCCTAATTCTTCCACACCCTGTAACCCCCTAATGTTTTAATGGATTTACTGCCTTGCATGATAACAATTTAAATAATATATATATATATATATATATATATATATACTACTGATTACATACTCCAAATTAAGAATTTAAAAAAACATAATATATTTCCGGCTTTTGTTTTTTCTATTGTAAGAAATCACAATATATAAATATATGTTGTTTTGACTTCCACAATGGGATCAATTTACAATGTATCTACATAGCAAACTACACCTTTTAACTTTTATAAAATTTAATAAAAAAAAAATTAAAAAAAATTTATTATTTCTGACCCTAGTTTTTATTGTACAACTCCACAGTTTAATTCTAAAATCAATCCAAATTTTAACCAAATATTCAAGTTTTAAAAGAAAAATGTATATCATAAACTTATAATGTGCTGTGGATTCTTTTCCCCACTGGGAGTTTTGCCAACAATGATACAAAAAGATCAAGTCACCTCTGCTTGTGGTGATCTTACATTGGATAAATTTAGTTGTGCATTTGTTCCACTTCCTTAAAAAGAAGCATTCCTTAATTCAAGGCCACAATAACAGTGCCTAGTGAAGATTGAATTCACTACTCAAGAAAAGATAGGTGATTAATTTGAGGCTTTTTCACAAATTGTCAATTCATGTTAATGAACACTGTGGTGCTGGTTTGAGTTTCACTGGAGGCTCTTTGTTTTTTGATTCACCCTGCATATTTATTAGGTGTAAGCAACCATCTACGATTGAAAGGAAAGAAAAACTGTTCAAAAACTAATATTTCATCTAATTAAAATCCAAGATAATTTTGCTACTAGTGGAAAGTAAGTAAAATTAAGATGAAAGAAATACTTGTCAAAAATTAATAATGGATAACAATGCTTCCTCTAATAAAAGTTCAAGATATTATTACTACAAGTGGAAATAAAGCGAGTAAAATTAAGATGAAATATTTGTCAAAAATTAATAGTGCTTCCTCTAATAAAAATTCAAGATAATATATTTAATACTATATGTGTAAATAAAGCAAGAGAAATAAGACAAAACAAATACTAGTTAGAATTCAATAATCACAGACTATTTCATCCAAGAATTTTAAACAATATTAAATCTAACATGACAAGTTTAATAAAGCAAGAGAAATTTAAAAAATGCTCATTAACATTTATTAATTATATATATATCTCTCTCTCTCTCTCTCTCTCTCACACACACACACATATATATATATATATATATATATATATATATATATATATATATATATATATATATAAATAAATAAAAAGAAAGAACAGTAAGATATATAATCCCGTGTTCTTATAGATGTTTTTATTTTTACAAAATAGTGCTCAATGTAAATTTACAGAGCATTAATATTATAAATTAATTGATTTAAAATTTTTTTTTTTCGCTACACAGTTCTAACCATGTTTCAAAAATGGAAGCTAAAAGCCCCGAATTTAATTTTGTAATTAAATTAAAGACATTAGTTCCATTTCATGAAATGTGTGACATTAGTTCCATTTCATGAAATGGAACTAATGTCTAATTACAAAATTAAATTCGGGGCTTTTAGCTTCCATTTTTGAAACATGGTTAGAACTGTGTAGCGAAAAAAAACATATTTTAAATCAATTAATTTATAATATATTTAAAACAACTTATATTAAATAAAACCAAAAAGGTTATTTGTTCTATTTTTTTTTATTAATGTTTTAAAAACTTTCCCACTAAATTTTTTCTAATATCGGAATTACTTTTCTTTCAACTGTCACGTCTGTTGTTATCGATAACATGCAATCCTTGATAACAACTCCAATGACAGGTGAAAGTTCTTGGGACAAATACAGTCAATTAGCTTAACCTATTACCTGCCATGAGCCCCAATTACCTAAACCAAATACAAATATATGACTACTGGACCTAAATTGGAAGATTTGTTTTTTTTTTGTTTTTTTTTTGTTTTTTTAAGTAATAAACTAACTCCTTCCAAATTATATTATATGCCATAATTTCTGTCATGGGTAAGCTAGTACCAAAAGCTGATATGCTTAGCAAGGCCTGTCTTGTTGACTATTACTACTGAGCAGGGAGTTTGATCCTCACTAGGTGCCCTATAGACAATTCAGCATTAAAATAACCTAACAAGAGTTTGCATGTCAGAATCTACCATTTAAATGACTCCACTGTACCTCATGCTTGTAGCCTCCTAACAGTCCATGTCCGGATCAAGGATTAGTGCCCTATTCATTAAAAATTAATCAAAATCTGAATAGTCCTGGGTATGATGATAAACTACATCCGGCAGCAAGACTTCTGATCTGGAGATTGGATGTTTCAAAAAGCATGGAACCACCTCTTAATTGCTGTTGTTCCCAGGTCCACCCTGATTCGGGTGGTAGCACCTGTTAGGGTCCCAGCTATGGACAAATAGTGAACCCCCAAACAAAAACAAAACACTGAAAGTATAAAAATACATTTTTATAGCAAAATGATCAACAATACATTTTATCTGTAGTTGAAGGCATGCAAATGCATTCAAAATATCTTGAGTTAACGTTTCAGTTAGCAAGGTCAATTGGAGTTTAAAAATAGTAAAATTGACCTTGCTAACCGAAACACTCCTCTGTGGCAAAATCGGTAAAAGCACGTCAGGCTATATGACAGTTCCATATAGGATACATGTTCGATTAATGTTGGAGGACACATATTTTCTATGACAATTTCTCGGACATTCAGGCCAGTAAATGTTGTTAATACTGTTTATTATAAACAGAGCATTTACTTAAATATCTGTATTTTATAAAAAAGAATGTATAAATATAAAAATGGCTTCAAATATATATATATATATATATATATAAAATTTTATTGTTATACATTATTTATATATGCACAAATGTTTAAGTAAACATTTACCAGCCTGAACATCAGAGAAATTTCATAGAAAATAGGTGTTCTCTGACAGGAATTGAACTTGTATCCTACACAGAACTGTCATATAGCCTGATGTGCTATACCTGTTTACCTACAGAGGAATATCTAGCTAGCAAGGTCGATTTTACTGCTTTTAAACTACAAACTTCCCATGTTTTCCCTTGAACGTCCATATCTGCTCAAAGTGTATCTTAATGTAAACAAATGACATCACTCACCACAAAATGGACTAAGTCCAACAATTATTTTTATTTATTTATATATCTTCATTATAGGATCTGACATTTGCTCTGCTATTGTATTGAGCACTATTTTTAAATTAATGTGAATATTTGAATTTATATTTTATTCATTCTTATTTCATTTGGTTATGATGTATATATATAAAATCAAGAAAAGTTATTTGTTTAGCTAACGCAAGAGTTTCGCATGAAAACACTCATCAGGGTGATGAAAACAAATGTTTAATAAATGTATTATCAGATCTCATATAGTAATTTACTAAACGTAACTTAGTAGTGGCACACGGCCAAAAGTATGGTGAGCACACTGTGAGGATTGAACACATTACAAAGGCATAATTGACCTAACAAGACAAATTAGCTATTACACCATGGCAAAGTGCCCTTTCAGATCTCATATATATTAATATTGAATATATATTTTATTATTCACTGTTTAGTACAAGTTCTACCAAATCATGACAAACAAATATATTTATTATTAGTATAGATTTTAGTTATGTTATTTTACATTTACCACTCACTGTGCACTATATATATATATATGTATATATATATATATATATATATATGGCTCGGTGGATATGTTGTCACCTAAATTCTGCAAAAATGAAAATAACACTGATATCTCATTTTAAGATA